AGTATTTAACCGGACAAAATTGCTCAAAGAACCAGTCCCCTATAGTTTGCACAAAGATATGATTGCTTCACTATAGTTCTGGAAATTCATGGTAATTTAAGAATTCTATATCGCTTCTACATATTCAATACTATAATTCGATATGAAATATTCGAACCAATAATATTTTGGTTGCAAATTTATGGTTATCGTCTATTTATAAGATAGATAAAATTTTAAATTAAGTATTAAACTATAATTAAAATAAAAAATATCAAAATTGAAGTATCAAAACACCAAATAAGTACTTACGAAATATTTATTGGGCTAGCTAACTGTTGAAAAGTTCTGTAATTTCATATTTTAGCTTCGTATATATTTTTATTTTAAAAAATACAACAAATCTACATAGTCTGATTGATTTTAAACCTTCACTTTGTTTGAAGTGACCATGGTTCAAATCTCAATATGTCTATCTTTTTCTGTAAATAAATAAAAAAATACAGATACTTGTGAAGACAAAAATGTCCTTCCTAATTTCCCTCTCATTGCAGGAAATTTGAAAAGGGTGATTAAGTTTGAAATAATTAAATCATATACCCTAAATCTATAGAACTTAAACCCTAATATCACATATACTAAGAACATAATCAATGATGTTAATTCGCCACGATGATACAACATACCATATGCACTATATTAGGATTTAGAGAATTATGATATAGGGTTTAGTTACGTGATTAATCTATGGTCTAGATAATGTTATTTAACTAAGGAGATGCAATAACCCTCAATCCATCGAGCGTACAATAGAATTTCCAATGTATATACACATACCATTGTTTGTTAAATTTAGCCAATGATAATTGGCTCATTTGTCAATGTTATTTAGTCTTTCAATTCTATGCTTATAATTGTCAACCATTAGGGAAATTGTTAGCAAATGATTTTTGGTCATTCACTTATAGCATTGAAAATGTCTTGTTACAAAACCATAGATCACAAATGTCAAATTTTAGGTTTTGAAATAAAATTTTGTATAGCACTTTTGTAAACAATCCTTGTATTCCTACAAACTACAAAGTCATGTAACCTAATAAATGTAAAAGTTGTAAGACATACATAAACTCAAAATGTATTATTTGATTCTTGGTGAAGAATTGTGTGATTAGAGGAACTCACTTAGTTGATTCATAAAGCTAGGAATACCATGATGATTCACTTTGTAAATAATTACAGTTATTAATTAATTCGATGATTGATTGTTGCGGTGGATAGTCCTATGATTTTGAGATATTTCAGTATTGTATCTCTTTAATTCAAAAAATATATTAACATTGTTGTAGTCCAATTGGTTAGGGATATTGACTATTAATCTGAAAGACTTGAGTTCAAGTCTTTGTAATGACATTTTTTTCCTCATAAGAAGATATTTAAGTTCTGAGTTGAACTTACAAATTTACCCCTAACTACAACAGTAATTTGCAATCTATTATCAAGAATATAACTAAGAAGATATTTAAGTTCTAAGTTGAACTTACAAATTTACCCCTAGCTACAACAGTAATTTGCAATCTATTATCAAGAATATAACTAAGAAGATATTTAAGTTCTAAGTTGAACTTACAAATTTACCCCTAGCTACAACACTAATTTGCAATCTATTATCAAGAATATAAGTCAATTATTCAACCTATCCCAACAGCTCCAGTTATTAATCATAAACGATTCTTGATGAAACACGTCATTCGAAAGCGAAGGACCACCTAAATCGTGAATAATTGTTGCATACACAGAATAATATTTTTTTACAGTTTCAACAACCAATTTATTTAACTTGCCAATTTTTTTTAAAATATAATCTTAAATTATTAAAAAACATAACAAAAAGGATTATATCATATGAATTTTTTCTAAAACTCAACCCACTCTAAGAATTCCGGGATACGCCCTCTTTTTAGGGCACAGTTTCATACGAGGTTAAAAAGTTGAAGTCGCCCGGCCAATTGTTCAACAAGTATAAATAGTTAAATTTCACAAGTGCATCAACAATCCGCTGTAGCATATAACCCAATGAATTCAATTCCGGGTTGCAAAGCTTGGCGATTCCCGAGAGGGGATCCCGGGTTCAACTCCCGGCAGCGGAAACCTTCTTTTAAATTTTATTTCTTTTTGTCTAACAACTTTTGGAACTCTTACGAGGTCTAGCAATTAGGAGGGGCCGCTACCGAATTAGTTAAGTGCTCCCAAATTATTTGCATATAGTCATTGATGAGAGGCTGATGAAAGAAGCTTGCGCACTGATTTACTCTTTGGCTTTAATAAGAAGTTCACTGCTTGCATCACACAAGAGACTATGATAGGCTTGTAATCATCTCTGCAAAACAGCTGATGCAAACCAGCAGCTATCGGATTGCTTTTTTTTGGCTGTGATGTGTTTCATGTATCAGGGAGAAGCTTCCCAGTTGACCTCAAGTACATCTCTTGTCTCAGTAAGTAGAATGGGCATGTGAAATTTTCCAAGCTTCATCGGCAGTTGCTTTGCCATTGCACGGGAAGCTTTCTTTTTAAGGGTCAGTTTCATATTTTCAAGGACTTACCAGGGAAATGAAAGTTCATATTCGCTACTAATCTTGCTGAGGCTTGTTTGACCGTTCCAGGGGTGAAGAATGTGGTTGATTCTGGGATGGTCAAAGACTAAGAGAGCCCGATTTGAGGCTGGAAGTGGAATGAGCATGCTCAAAATTTGCAGGACTCTCTCTTTCTTCCTGAAACAAAAACTACCACATCGGTAGTGAAATGGGTAAGGGAGTCGATGCCATGGTATAAACAAGGAAGCGAGACTGAGTTTAAAACCATGATCCTTCAGGCAGTAAGCGGGGCATGATGAGTGGGTCAGTCTCGCAAATTTGTGCGAGATGGGTGTCCAGTCCAAAGCCTGGTTACGACAATTTGGGCACCCCAGTTTTGTACCTATCTGATCCCCAATGTCTTACAAAAGCTTGAAGTGAAAAAGAGGCCCAATAGCCCAATTGTAATGGGGTCCAGTCCAAATCCTGATTATTACAATTTGGGCAACCCAATTTGTACCTATCTGATTACCCATTGCCTTGGAAAAGCTTGAATCCAAAATTGAGGCCCAAAAGCCCAGTTGTGGCACTTCTGCTGCCGTCCAGTAGTGTTCGTAGATCGCCGTTTGGAGTTGATTGGCAATATTTGGAGTTGACGAGATTGACTAAGACAAAGTGTTAAAGATGAGGGACTTCGGACTCAGCAAGTGTTAGGTATATGACACACGGAGGAATGAGGATTGGTTTGATTGTTGTGATTGTTTATGGAAAAATGGTATACGTTTATTCATTACAATTACAATGTACTTTTTGTTGGTTTTTAATGATACACGATGCATGGATTGTGTTCTTGTTATGATAGGATAAATTTAGGGATGATAATTTCGATCGGACCCGTTTTATCCGACTTGTTTGGCTTGTACCTGCCCCGCCCCGGCATGAGTACCTCTCATTGACCTGACCTGTTCCGACCCGCCCCATTCTTGACCCGTTCTTGCCTAAATTACATGTAATATTAGTCAAATTATTTAGGATTTTCCTCTTTTTACCTCATATTTTAGCTATAATAAACTTGTAAATAAGTGATAACCTTAATTTCTCCAATAATTTAACTACATTTCATCATATTATGGTGTCTTTCTTGATCTTTTAATGAATATAATGAATGTTTCTAATGTTTTTCACATAAATTAGATACCCATTGGGTCGACCTGTCCTGATCCGCACCCCGTAATAAATTACCCGACCTGCCACGGGGCGGATATGGGTATCGAGATACCCGCCCCGGACCTGCCCATTGCCATTCCTAGATAGGAACAATCATTTTAAAGGTGAGATTGTTTCCTCTTTTCCCTTAAAATTTTACATCATATAATTTGTTTTATGTTGAAAAGGAAGCGATAAAGTGACATCTTTATTAAAAATAACTTCGTCCTTTTAAAGTCTAAAGATACAAAACAAATAAACCAAATATTGTAATCTTACATTGTAAAACTCCTATGTGTATTGTCCTCGTAGTAACACTAAGTATTATTATGCTTATCCTATCCAAAAATGGATTTATTAATTTAATTGCTCCTCATTCTTATCCTCACAACCACTCCGTTATAAAAATTAGGCCATTTTAGGATTAACTATTACCACAATACCTAACTTTTAATTACATCCTTGCCCCCTCCATGCTTCTCTATCCATTTCTGCCAAACTTAAGTTGTCCTCCACCGTACCGTTTATTTTATAGGCACCATACCGTATTTTATTGTGGCATTTATGATAGTACAAGGACTTTGCGGTAGTGGTTTTCCCAATTTGTTGCTTCATAACAAATCTCAAATTTGAAGTTAACTTTTAAAATGCGTGTTATTATCTTTTACTTTTCACGGTGCAAAAATTATTAACTTCACCACAATCTAAAATACTATGGCTCTTTTATTTTTGAATAAGAATAGAAACTAGACATATTCAATAAATCACTTCAATTAACCCATAGAGCCAACAATAGAGAAGAAAGAATTGTAGCTTTGATCAACATCAATCATGTTTCTAATTATGGAAGATGTGAAGGAAATTGACTACGATAATATTAAAAAAAAATGTGTTCTATGAAAAATTTCGACGGAAAATGGACCTAAAATAAATGTTACCCAATTATCCAGTTACCTTTTCTAAATTATTCTTACTCGACTATCAATTCATTTAAATTTGCACCTAAAATAAATGTTAGCCAGTTACCTTTTCCATCAAACTAGCTAAACCAAATCACATTTTCCACAGAGTCGAGTGCGGGTTTTGATTAAATTTTCTTTTCCTCCAAGCAACTATGGCGCAAGATACCTTTCTTTCATCATGACAATCGGTATCAAATTGGAAGCACTCGATTGTCCAACCCCACACGACAAGAATTTTCAGTTTTTTTTCTTCCTCCTCTCAGTAGTAAAGGGGAAGCAATCCCATCAATTTTCTTTTTCTCCAAACGCCATCTCACCAGGCAAGAACATCAATCCAACCCCACAATCTTCCCTTCCCTTCCAACCAACTCCCTCTTCCTTTCTTTCTCGCCGGCCAACTGCCAATTACCGAAACCTCCATTCATTCTCTCCTTTTTTTGTTTTGGGTTTTGTGATCACCATGGCTGCTGGATGGGCAACCGGCCGCCAGATGGGTTCCTTGCCCTCTACTACGAAATCAGGAGCTGGCGGTGGTGGTGGGATGGAGTTGATCCAGAACTGCGATCTCCCTCCGCCTTCCAAGCTCTTCCACGGCTCCGATCACGAGCTCGTCGTTTCCTCGATGAACCGCGTTTTCGCGATGATGGGGCGGCGAGAACAAGTCGGCGACGACGACGAGGGCGAGAAGAAATTGGAGCTCCTGAGAGCGGTCAGATTGTCGCAGACGCGGGCCAGAGAAGCCGAGAAGAGATCCGACAGCCTGGGGAAGGAGAAGGACTGCCTGTCCAATGCCTTGTTGGGCCAGTCCTTGCAGCTGTCTGCGTATCGCCGATGGGCCAGGCTGCTCGAGGCCCATATTCTCAAGCTCGAAGCAGAGCTGAAAGATGGCGCCACCAAGTCCTGCTCCAGGTGCACTAGTGGTGGGGATGATGATGATGATGATGATGCAGGGGAGAGAATGCCGTGGTTGGTCGCCATTGCTTTCTGTTTTGGTGCCGGAATTGTGCTTGGTTTCACCTACTGGTTTTCAGACTAAACCCTAGTTTTACAGAAACATACATGTAATTTATAAATCACTAATGAGAAGCTATTTTGCAACTTGCTTTTACTGTACATTACATATACCTCTTTAGAAATCCAGCAAAATCACTGGAGGCGAATGACGTATTGTTGAAATAACTGACTGATTCTACAGACAATCCCTTGGTTGATTGTGACAATTTGCAATTCTGGATTAGGTTCATTTTGTTCTATTTCATCTCAAGCTCAAGATTGACCAAGGGGAAACATTCTACTATCACTTATATATGGTGGCTACATACATTTTCAGTTTGACTGAGCAAACATGCTCTGGTCTGTGATTACTTACTTCTATATATATTATGCCGACTCTGCGACTCACATTCTTAGTTCTTACTCCCTACAACACTAAATCTCCCCCTGTACAAACCGCGCTACCCAGGCAATGATAAACCTACATTAGATTAGACACGATGATAACTCCCCACAATGGATGCAGCTCGCTCACATCACGATGTGGTTTGACTGGAGATGGGCATAGCACTCTTGGCTGCAACTAAAATGCTCCAGACACGCCCAGCATACGTGCCTCCCACACCGGCACTCCACATGATTACAGCCATCGACCTTCTCGATCGTATAAAAGCACACAGGGCAGTTCTTGACGGCTTCCTCCTTCCCCTTGCGCCATTCCTTGAGCGACAAGTCGGGGTCTTCCTTGTACTCCTTGTACTTCTCGCACGATACTTCTGGATGGTACTCCACGTGGCACCTCGTACATGTCTCGGCAAAGCACACCTCGCACATGAACGGTTCGCCAGCAGCAGCAGCAGCAGCACCCGTCTCAGCAGAATCAGCCACTGCTCGGTAGATCGAAGGGCAGTCGGGAGAAGGACAGAACCTGTAAATTCCACCACTCGAAGCTACGAACGACCTCAAAGAAGCTCTAAAAAGGTCTTCCAGCTTCTCACTGGATAAAAGAGACCTCAAATCTGTGACCAATATCGGCATTCTGCATCCTTCCTTGGCACAACATACTGGAAAACTGTCCATATTTCTCATTGCTGACTCGAACTGCTCTACTAAACAGGACTGGCAGAATAAATGTGAGCAGCCTTCGAGTCTGTAACCATTCTCAACTTCACACAAGCATATTGGGCAGCAGCGCTCACTGCTGCAAGTATGGTCAGTGGAGGATGATTGGTCACCACTGCTTGCGATCTCTCTAACCATTTCTTCCACTCTGTCCTTCACCTCTAATGAGTTGCCAGAAATAGAAATGACATGATGCCGTGTGTCCAGCAAAAATTCTGATTCCCGGAACTTCGCTTTTAATCCCTTCAGGTCCGGACCAAACTTGTCTACAACTTTCTTCATCAAGTCTGGAGGTTGACCTTCTTCACCCTTCATGTGGATTTTGAGCTGCTTGCTTTCGTGATAGTGCAGAAGAGAATTTATCAGTTTCGTCTCAGCTGCAGCAATGTCACGGGGAGAACCAAAAACTCTGACATTGAAGTTACGCCGGTCGAAGAGAATATAGGTTTGTGTCTCCTGCTGTATTGATCGCATCAAGTTCATACCAGGTGGAGAGAATAGATGCCTTAAGACTGTTAGAGTAAGGCTGTCGTGGTTTAAGATTCTTCCTCTCATCAGTTCTTCCAGTGGTCTTCTGAGCTCCACCACGGTCTTTGTAGCATTAGCAGATAGTTTTACTCTCCACGAACCATTCCCAACTTTCTCCAGTCTGTATTCCACACCTGAAACAAAAACACCCAATTTCAGTTTCCTGGTAGTAGGAAAATATATTTTGCAGTCATTTTCATTCAGTTTTATTAATCAGACTTCAATAGAACTTTCAGAGCTATTGCAAGAGTTATAACTTGTGATTAAGCACCAAAACACCACACCTTATCACCAACTGATGTGGCAGTTCTTCCTCCATCCTACACACCTATTTTCCACTACTTTTACCAGAATTCAATCAGCCTAGGTACATCAAAAACTATATCATATGAACCACCATTAACTGAATGTGACACTAGGATCATCCACGTTCATAACTCGTCAGCCCAGATTAACAGTAATAATGACAAGTAAAAGAAAAGGAGTAGCATACCATTCCAATGCCTGAAACTTGCAAGCACAGAATCCAGTTGCTTCCTTATGGCATAATAAACGGATGCACAACAGGTCAATGAGCTGTGAAACAACTTTTGTTTTTGATAAGAGCTGTGAAGCAAATGCTGCTGGCATGTTATTTTCTGCCAAGGAAGACAACCCGACAACACTTTCCCTTCCAGATGCTCCAAAGCTTTAGCCGCCTCCAAATGCAATCTCCCATCAAAGATAATCAACGCTTTCATATAACGATCATCTGGCTCAGGATGAGAGACTTGGACTCTGCAACAGCTAATATTTGGATTCTTCTTAGGCATAAAGGGAGAGATCTCTCGCATTAGTGCTTCTTCACAAAAACTAGTGGAAGGAGGATCTTCCACAGGATCACCTTTCACCAAATTGAACTCCAAAATTCTCCTCTCCGTAGCAGTCCTTAATATGTCTATAATATCACCTTCATAAAGCTCTTTATCGATTCCAGTTAAAACAATACCGTCGACCTTCAGTCTGTCAGCTGCAGAGCGGATATATCTTCCTCCTATCAGTAGGTTAGAGAAGTCTTGAAGCATATAACCAACATCATCTATATGACATTTAATAAATGCAATGCCTCTACTCCACCTACGAGGCCAAGAAACTTTTGCTGTAACAGCTGGGAAAGAAAGTAGTTTATTATCTGACCCAAGGCTTGTTGGTGAAGGAACGATTTTCAGCATGGATCCACCAAATTCAACTCCATCAAGCAGACATGCCTTTTCAGCAGCTAAAGGAGAAAGGAATGTGATCCTACCCCACTTCTGCTGGTCATCGGCTTCTTGGCTGCCATAGAACTTTTGGACCGAACAAATTGTACCACATGTAGATTTCTCAAGAAACATCAAAAGTTCTTTATCATCAACCAAATCCTTTGAAAGAAATATGTCGACAGTCAGAGATCTCTTTTCAAGCTCCACATGCTTGATCTCAGCACCAGCTCCTAGAAGTGCTACAGACGATGAAAATCCAACTCCATGGTAGAGTCGTCTTTCCATGCATTCATTACGTAATGCTCTCCGCTCATACTCCACAGCTTCCTCTACAATACTACACAACTTGTCCATGTTTTCTGAAGTAGCAAATAGCTGGATCTCATTTTGATCAACGTTCACCTCAATACCGATTCGTTCATCCGAACAGGCATGCTGGCTACATTTGACAATAGACTGCACATTGCTGTTGTACTTTCCACAAAATCGTTTGAGAAGTAACATCCCAAAGCCAGTCACTTTCTTTGATTGCAGTTTCTGACACTCCATATTATGAAAATCAAACAATGGAGGAGGGTCAAGAGTAGGCAGGGACTCAAAATCAAAGGCAGTAACACAGACCAAATAATCATAAGCCGTTGACAAGAGTTCACTAAAAACAACCCAACTTGGCTTCTCAGCAAACATTTGTAGCGAACAGGATGGGTGTAGCCGGACAGTTTGCCCAGTCATTGCCACTTGATAACCCACTTGATCATATCCAGAATACATGGCAACATTTTCCACAAGAGCAGAAACTATCGCCTTTTTCAAATGTTTATCATGATCTGTAGATTTATGAGGACTCCAAAGCCAAAGTGTTGGGACAATAATGTTGAGTTCCCTCCTAAGGGATTCTTCCATTTCTTTAACAGCATCTTGGCATCTTCGCATGGATTTGGCATTGATACTGTTATCCCAGCACCATTTACTTTTATGATCTCGGGGCAAAGCTTCCCATTCCTTAAAAACAGAGAGCAGAGTGAAGAGGTCACCACTGCTATGGCAAAACTGCAACTTAAGACAGTCAGCTTTTATCTTATCATCTTTACTGCCAACTCTACAGAATATGCTACTAGCATTAGCCATCACAGCAGCAAGAGCAAGGCCTTCTTTACCCAGGTTATGACGAAAGCAATTGAGGATGAGCTTACCAAGCCGGGGCTCAATTCCAAGTTTAACAAAATAGCGACCTTCATCTGTTAGTTCATAATACCGCCCACGACTCTGTCTGATTGCACCTAATTGGACAAGGTTCCTGATGGCCATATCAACGGCTTGATAACTAGGCGCATCAACAAAGTCAAAATCACTTATATTCTTGATTCCAAGGGCAAGGATCCTCAAGACTGCAATACCAAGATGAACTCTGCGAATCTCGGGCTCCTGATTAAAAGACATCAATTCATAGTCATGCTCAGTATATAGTCTATAACATACCCCAGGTCCAGTTCTTCCAGCACGACCAGCTCTTTGCCTGGCAGAACTTTGGCTGATCCTGCAAATTTTGAGCATACTCATTCCACTTCCAGACTCAAATCGGCTCTCCTTGACCATCCCAGAATCAACCACATACTTCACCCCTGGAATTGTCAATGATGTCTCAGCGAGATTAGTGGCAAATATGACCTTTCTTTTCCCAGGGAACTCCTGGAAAATACGAAACTGATCCTCAAAAGAAAGCTTCCCGTGCAATGGCAATGCAACAGCAGATGGAGCTTGGAAATTTTCACATGCCCATTCTACTTCCTGTTGAGAAGTCAGAAATGCCAGAATAGTTCCTTCTTTCTCAGATCTATGAATCTCCTTCGAAGTCTTGACAACCTCCTGCACATAAGGGGCAATAGGACCCCAAGCAGATGTGCTGGCCTCACTGTCACAAGAGATATACTTCAGGTCAACCGGGAAACTTCTCCCTGATACATGAAACACATCACAGCCAAAAAAGTAATCCGATAGCTGGTCTGCATCAGCTGTTGCAGACATGATTACAAGCCTCAAGTCTCTTGTCTGATCAAGCAGTAAGCTTTTGATTAAAGCCAAGAGTAAATCAGTGCTCAAACTTCTTTCATGAGCCTCATCAATGACAATGCAAGAAATCCCAGGCAAATTCCTGTCATTCATAAAGTGCTGCAGCAAGCAATGGTCTGTTGCATATATAATTTTTGAACTAAACTGTTGGTTGGAGGAAAAGGTTGGATAAGCAAGAACAGAATTATTACTGTCTTTATAGCAGCCATGACATTCTCCTTTCACCCTGTCAGCAATTGAAATGGCTGCAATCTTTCTCGGCTGTGTACATATAACAGTCTGACTTGATCCTATACCAGAATCAGCAAGGAACTGGACCAACTGAGTGCTTTTTCCAGAGCCAGTCTCACCAATCAAAACCATGATCTGCAAAACCCCATTTAGCAAAATTAGACAGAGGAAAGAAGCAATCGAAAGATGGCAGTAGCACGATAGTAAATAAATAATAACTATGATTACCTGGGAATCCCTAATTCTGGCCAGAATTTCCCTCCGGTGAGCATAAATCGGGAGTCCATCCTGCAGCCTATGAATTTCCCTGAGAATAAGCCGGTGAATTTTCACCCAATCAACTTCTCCTTGCAGCAAAAAGGGCTCTATATCTACTCCTTCTGCCTCCGCCGCTGTGCCCTCCAGCTTCCCTCCATCAATATACTTCAAAATGCACCTCATCGCCGCCATAAACTCCTTCAGTCTCTTCTCCGTCACTTCCAATTCCGAGACCAGTACCTTCTTCTTGTTACTCAGCTCGGTGTAAACATCGAACCGAACCCCCTTCTTCGCCTTCAACTGCCGAGAAACCTCCTCAATTTCACCGAGCTTGCTCTCCACCTCCGATTCCAACTTTCCTACCTCCTCTCCGGTGACCAAGCTCCTAACATAATCAGCGAACACCGCTCCGAGGTCCCGCCGCAGCTCCTCGGAGTCGGAAGGAACCATCATTCGGCTGCGGAGGTCCGGGGTAAAGCAGTGATCGCCGCTCAGCCGGCGCTCCCAAAGCTTGGCCATGCAAGAACGCGCCTGGGCCCAGGCGCTGATGTGAATTGAAGCAGTGACGGCGCCGGTGGAGAAGACTGTGCGCCTGCAACTGGGAGCTGCGCATTCCGAAATTAGAGCGTTAACGTCAGCAATTTTGCGGGAATTCGGGTCGGTCCCGTCGGGTAGAAGGCTGATCACGAAGTTCGAAGGGAGGCGGGTGGTTGGGGTTATACTAGGGAGGTCGCGCCGGGGAGACTGGTAGCTTCCGGCGCCGTAGTGGTTGATGGGGTTTCTGTAGAAGGGGTTGGGTTTTTGTTGTTGGTAATGGTGAGGAGAAGGCCGGTGACCGGACATGTTGCCCGGCGGTTGAGGGAACCGCCGGGAGGTGGCGTTGTACGGACGACTCATGACATAGAAAGAGAGAGAGCAGAGGGGAATGGAGTGTTAGGTGGTGGCTTGGAAATTTGGTCAGAGTATTTTGCCGTTTTATATTCCTTCTTAGGTTTATGCGCCATAAAAAACATTTACACACGTACCAAAAAATAATTAAACAGAATCTATTATCTAAAGCATGTACATTAATTCATTATATTGTATACTATACATGCATTTGCCCATTCCAAAACTAATATGGATTTTCATTAAAAGACTTAAAATTTTTTCTATTAATAAAAAAGACATGATTCTTGAAATTCTGTAATTTGATTATGATACCGATTTGAATAGGTTTATCGCTCTAGTAAGACGATCGACTGACTGATTATCGATTGAAAACTAATCATATTCATTCATAGTAAATTTATCAGCGATTTGTCCTATTCTTACGAATTATGCATTCTTATATGTAATTGAATACTATTCTTTTAGCAATATAGTTTTGAATAATACAAGTATTTTACGCGCCATTTTTTCCAAAAATGTATATTTTAGAACAAATTCCTAAAATGCCTATTTTATCCCAAATTCATCAAATTGATTATGATATGGATTTGAATAGGTTTATCATTCTAACAAGATGATGGACTAACCTATCATCGAAAAACTAATCATTCATCTACAAAAATAATTTCAGCAATGTGTCCTGTTTTTACGAATTATGTATGCTTCTATTACTTGAAGACTATTTTTTTAGCGATCGTTTTAAGTAATACAAGTATTTTACGCGCCAATGAGCTAACATCTTGCTTTAAAACATTTTATAAATGATTTTCTAATAACTATCATAAAAATAAAAATGAGACTGCAAAATCAAAAAGCACTTCTAAGGGATTATTGAACCATAAAATTAGTGGTGGATTGTTATCCCCAAATCCATCACATAGATGATTTTTGTTCCAAAAATACCTATTTTAGAACAAATTTCCGAAAGTATCTATTGTTATCCCAACCCATCAATTTGTATTTGATAATGATACAAATTTGAATAAATTTATCTTTCTAGCAAGATGATCTAATGACCGATCATCGATCCTTAATCAATAAAAATTTATCAGCGATGTGTTCTATTTTTATGAATTATGTACTTGAATACTATTTTTAGCAATAGTTTCAAGTAATACAAGTATTTTAGGCGCCAATGAGCTAACGACTTGCTTTAAAATATTTATAATTTTTTTCTAATAATCAACATAAAAATGAAAATCAGACTACAAAATCAGAAAGCACATCTAAGGAATCGTTGAATCATAAATTGAAGTGGTGGATTGCTATCCCAAATACATCAATAGAGGATTTTTGTTCCCAAAATACCTATTTTCGAAAAATTTCCTAAAGTGTCTATTGTTATCCCCAAATCCATCAATTTGATTATGATACGGATTCGAATAGGTTATCGTTATAGCAAGATGATCGACCGACCAATCATTGATTAAAAACTAATCATCGATGACGATCATTCATCTATTAGAAAATTTATTAGCGATGTGTTCTATTTTTATAAACTATGCATATTTGTATGTACTTTAGTATTCATTTTTAGCAATAGTTTTAAATTTCAAGTCATACAAGCATTTTATGCGCCAATGAGCTAACGACTTGCTTTAAAACATTTTACAAAATTACTTTCTAATAACTACCATGAAAATGAGACTTCAAAATCAGAAAGCACGTCTAAGGGGTCGTGGAACGATAAATTTAGGTAGTGGATTGTCATCCCCAAATCCATCAATAGAAGATTTTTTCGAAAATATCTAATTTAGAATAAATTTCCTAATATAAGAAGCATTTAAATATATTTATAAATTTATCCTCCTTATTGCTTATTAGGATAGATGTACAACAAAATTATTATTTGTGTGACAAAGATGAGTTGGACTAACTATTTACACTATCTAAAAAGAGCGACAAAGCATTATTGCTCTCTATTATCACGATAAAACCTATAAATCACCCCTACTATTATACTCTCTTGGGCTCTTCCTAGCTCTCTCCCATCCCTATCATTTCATTGTTCTACCTTCTTGCTTCCTTATATCAAATACGCTATATAATAATGTCATATACTACATCTAGGCATGTTGTTAATGCATCTGCAACCAAATTTCTTATGTGGTGGATACAAAGAAGAAGTAATTGGGAGGATTAGGTTAGTGTTGGAAATGAATGTAGTCGTGTTAATTTGATCGTTTAGTCTATTATTTTTTTCTAGAGTAGCCGTTTTCCTTAAATAATTTACATAATGATCACTAAATGCTCTAAATATACACTATTGGTGAGGCTGGTACGGATTGGTGGAGCCCAAAACTAGCCTCGTCAATCCCCACTTGTCTCTTTGTGGAGTTTACATGTACATGTCTCATACTCAAACAAAGTGGAAATTATCCGTATTGATTAGGTGAGGGGTTGTTGATATCCGTGGTACAATTTTAATTGTCACCCTTTAGATAGGGATGATATTAGTTTACTTTTTGTGACTAGGTACTATATAAGGGATTCGAACATAGGACCTCCAAATTCAAGGCTAGTGGTGTTATGACTAGACAAAACCCTTGTTCGTTTCAATTGTCACCCTACTTATCTTTGATTAGCTAAGAGTTTCAACTTCAGAAGTTGTACATGATCTTTTATTGATTTTTTTCCTTGCTTATCTAAATGATTGGGTCAAATTCCAACTTCAAAGTCAAATGTTTGTTTTTCTCCTTCCTTCATTATATTTTGTTTGATTGACCCAAATATCATTACTTGCAAATGTAATTAATGTCGGTATTGCGAAAACATGAAAGTGGAAAACAAAGGGCTTTAATAATGGTTAGCAAGATAATGAATGAGGGACAAAAGGGAAACATTTTTTATGCACCTAATTTAAGAGCCAAAATAGAGAACCCAGTGATAAATAATGAGAACTTTTCAACTTGGCCCACATTAGGACTATATATCCACATGACCCTACAAAAAAATTCAAAGAAAACCAAGCCCAAGAAAACATAAAAAGCAATATAGCGTGAACGAATGGGAGAATAAACAAAGTTTATGTGGTAGCTTGATTTCACAAAACAACCATAAATATATGTTAAGATTCTCCCTAACTCGCTCACATTCCTACCATTTCTCCACTACATTTTTTTCTTTATTTGAAGACTACATATCTCTCTTCTCTGGTTCTCTTCCATCCTATTCACCACTCTCATAATCAACTAAGCCCCATTCTTCCTCCTTATTTGTTTCAAAACTTCTATGACTTTCTTTTCTGAATCGCCAACCAGATTGATTTATTTTAATCATCTTCATCATTACCATTTTGTATGTCATATTCTCGTCTTCTCTTCTCTATTGTTTTCCAAATTGATCTCGTTTATCTATGTCTACACATTCATTTAAAAATGGTGGATCAACAACCTCCCTTTCTCTCTCATTGCATAAGATGTGAAAGTTACAACTAGTACATTTAAAAGAGAAGAGAAAGTTATATGTACATATATTAGGGCATTATCAAGTAGTTAACAAAACTTAACACATCGATACGAAACCATTCTTTGTCATGACATTGCGAAAGAGAAGAGAAAACTATATGTACATACATCCCTAACAATTAGTGACTCACTACCACTACAACACTATCCCAACTATAGGCCAAGTGCAATCTAAAATCGAGTGTAGGATATGATAAATATTTCAATATAAACCCGAGTGTGCTATCTATCCTTACTTCGGTCGTTAACATGTTATCTAGCGATCAAATTTTAGTTAAATTTGAGGAAACTAGACAGATTAAACAAGCAAGCAATTAAACTTTGGTGAATTCAAATGAGAAAGGATTACTCAGACTTTGCTCCCCCTAGTCCCGTGTTAAGATGCAAAGATGAAACCCTAGCGTGGTAGGTAGATTCATATACAATGGGGAGGTCAAAATTAGCTAAGAAACCAATTCATGTGCTTCCTAGCCCGCTTAATCGATTGACTAAGGCTTGCATAACCACTCCATCGGAAGTTAATCCAGAACAACGAAAAGTAACCAATCATAACGAATCATGGCACTTCTTCGATGATCTATGGATGACTTGAATTGGCCTAGTGAAGGTTGCCCAAATTGCCAAGAATGCGGTATAAGAGTATTTCCTTCTTCTAGGTCAACTTATCCCTAAATTGAGGGATTTGATGAAGAAAACTCAATTTCCATGAATAATACCTCAATCATTATATAAATCACAAACCCAACACACATAGAGTTCAAATCCTACAATCTACAACATCCTAGATTAGGGTTCACAGCAACCAAGTGAAATAGGAGACTACTCCATAGCTAGAAGAGAAAATACAACTAAGTAGGGGAAAACCCATAGCAAAGTGATTTTCCCTCTTCTTAGATGCTTGATTCAATCCTTGGAAAAAAAATTTGCCTTCCTCTGGCCTTGGGTAGGTCAAATTATCCTTCCTTCCTCCTTAGCTCATAGCTCTCTCTCTCCTCTAAGTCTTGAAGAAGAACCTCTAATCTCTCACTAGAACTCTCTCCTTTCAAATTCAGCTCACTCTCTTTTATATATCTCCCAAGTGCACATATCACGGACTCATATCACGCCCGTGAAGTCGACAGTGAAACCGTGATCTCGACATAAAATGCGTTGTTTCACTAACGAACTTCATGGATGGCTTGTTGATTTCACAGTTTGGAGACCGTGATCATGACAATTCTCGCGAGCCATCCGAAGGCTCCTAGAAGTGTGCGGACTTTACGGTTTGCTTGTCCACTTCATGGTCTGCCGCCCGTGATAATTGCTCCGCAATCGTGATTCTTGCACTTTAGACTGTTTTGCTCCCTTTTCGCCCTCTTTTGTCCGACTTCCGATCCCGGTGCCAAAATTACTTGCTTAGGTCAGAAACATGACACAACCCAAACAAATTAGCGCAAAATAGCTCCAAGGACAGTTCAAACCAAGACAAATTATGCAAGTCAAGGGGTATAAAAGTGTGTAATCATTCCAGAATCAAACCCCCCACTTGAACGTTTGCTTGTTCGCAAGCA